CCTGCTGCTCCTGCTGTTGCTGCTGTTGCTGCTGCCCCTGCTGCTCCTGCTGTTGCTGCTGTTGCTGCTGTGGCTGCTGCCCCTGCTGCTCCTGCTGTGGCTGCTGTTGCTGCTGTTGACTGGTTGGATACTGTTGGTTGCCGTTTGTCAAATGGCTATGTGCAAAGGAGTAGAAAAATTCAATATCCTGACAACAAAAATCGACCCTGCCCCCCAAAAACTCAACACTCCTAATCACCAGGAAGCAGTCTCTTTCCCCTCTAACCTCCTTCTTTCCTACCTAGTGTTGGGAGGTTGGAAAAGATAGGGGTGATATAGGAAGGCAGAAAAAGGACCCAATAAAGTAGCCAAAAGTCTGGCTACAGGGCTGACTAGAGGACAGAAACTAAGGGACAATGTAGGTGTGAAGGGAGTGGGAGCACAGCTGTAGAGCCAAGGGAAAGCTTGTGGATGTGGCTTTATCTTAAGATGAGAGAAACTTCATGATTATGAGCTAGAAGGAAGGAGCTAGCTTAAAAGAAGCTAGAAGAAGAGAGGATGGTGAGATTCATCTGAAGGCAAAGAACTTCATTGCTAAGTGTTTGGAGTTGAGGACTGGGGAGATGGCTCAGTGGGAAAGGACCTGAGTTCAAATCTCGAAAACCCAGGGAAAGCTGAGTATGACTGCATCAACCTGTGAGCCCAGTGCTTCTAGGTCACCCTGAGAGGCCAAGAAAGAGAATCCGCAGAAATTCATGGATCATGAGCCTGGTACTCAACAGTGAACAACAACAAAAAACCCTGTCTCAAGATGGAAAGTGAAGTTTGACACCCAAGGTTGTCCTTTAGCCTCTATGTACATGCTGTAACATGTATGTGCTAATACTTGCACATATGTGCGCGTGCACACACACAGATCTGGGGGAAAAGTGTTGTTTTGAGATACTGTCATGACAGGTGAGATGTGATCTTTGACTGAGTCAGCCCAGAATTTAGCCCTCCTCTGATTTGGTGGCCATAGAACCTGGCCTTATCCTCAACCTCTATGACCCATAGTCTCTTCCTCTATAAAATAACCCTAAACCACAGAGTCCCCATAGGAGGTAGAAGGTATCTGTAGTGCCTAGCTGGTGCTATGCTCATTGATATTTTTGCATCCACAGAAGAGCTGCCTCAATCCCTGCTTTGTTCCAGAAGTATTCTTTCCCTCTTACAAGCCTGAGTCATAAGACCCTAACATGCTGTGCCCTGGCATGATGTGTGGAAGACTTTTCCATAGTAGCAATGCCCATCTTAAGCCAAAATGAACGGTTACAAAGTCTACTTGTACCTGCCCTCTTCTCAGACGAAACTGAGCTACCGAATTCACACACACCTCTCATTCAGACAAAGCCTGTGGCTCTGCCTATGTTAGGGGTCACTGGATCTGATGTCTTCATCCATAGGAAGAACACTGAGGTCCGGAAAGCTCGGATAATGTCCTCATTCATGTAGCTTGCCAAGAAAGAAGGTTCCAGAAACAGTTTACCTCCAGCTACTGCTCTACCAGGGCGCTCCAAGTCCCTTGTCAATGCTACTCTCATTCATAGACCCGTGTCTCACAACTTGGAAAGTCTCAGGTCCCCGAGGAGGGACAAAAGAGATGTGTTATGACAACAGAACTAGGGGAGTTGGAACAAAAGATGCCCAAAGCATCAGCTTTGGCTCAGGCTTCCTGGTATACCCCAACTTGCTTTCCTTAAGTAGGTACAGTCCTTCTCAGTCCTCACACAATAAAACCAGCATCCAGTGACTTCCTCCACCCTGGAGTCTGACCAGGGTAGAGCCTGCCCTTGGGTGATACAGACTGAAGCTTGGTTTGCATTCTTCAAATGGTTTTCCACACATCATTGTCTTAGCATGATTACATTCTTA